GGTGACATTGCAAGGGGGGTTTGGAATCAGTGCCGCCACCTCCGAGGCTGGCTGAAGGCAGATCCAGTGCCTGGATGGGGCAGGAGCAAAGTATTATCCAGATAGGAGCCTGGAGCGTCCTGCAGAAGCGTCCTGGAGAGGCTGACGTGACAGCTGTCTCTGGAGAACGTCGGAGGAGACTGCTCTGACCTGGGAGCAGTGCTGAAAGGACGGGCCGGGCCTGCAGAAGACTGCTGGGAGGGGCTCGAGCGTGAGGACGGGGTGTACTTGGGGGGAAATGGGAGTCAGACGGGGGCGGGGGAGTGACGGAGAGTGGTGAATAGCTGGGAAAGGGTCTAGAGACGGAGAGGGACCGTTGGGGTCAGCGCTGGGGGGCAGTCAACCCCCCAGAACTTGGGAATGTAAGTCTCAAAGGAGTCTGGGGAGGTAAGAGGGGAGAAGGATCCTGAGGGAGGAGATGGAGGGCGGGCCACGTGTGGGGGTGGACAGTCAGGAGCACCCTGGGGGGCAAGCGAGGTCATCCACAGAAGCCCAGGCCGGGGGCTGCTGGCTGCTGGAGGTACTGGAGCGGGCGCGGGAGGGGCTGGGCTGCATCCCACTCTGGAGACCCCACGATCCTCCTTCCACCCCTGCCCCCTCTCCCATCAGCACCAGTAGTGCTAGCTGCAGGGCCCTGACGCAGGAAGGACTTCTCCAGCCCCCACACCACATATTAAGAAGAAATATCAGCAGCAACAGAGCTTTATTGGTGGTTTAGAGACTGGGGAGCGTACAGCCGGGGCCGGGGCTCCGGGAGACGCCAGGACGCGGGGTCAGTGCGCTGATCGTTCGGAGGAGCGGCTCTCAGGCCGTCAGATTTTGCCGGCGAAGGTCCCGTCCTGGATCTGCTCGGTCCAGCGCCGCACCTGGGAAGGGGAGGGCGGGGGTGGGGGGAGGAGGCCGAGGGCGCCGGCTCAGCTCCACGGAACCCGGCACCCCCGGCCGGCCGCCGGCGCCCCCCCCGGCCTGCTCACCCAGCTCATGGGGCACAGCGAGTGGAACACGCGGAAGTAATACTCGCAGGGCTGCGTGCTCTTGCCGCGGCGGTTCATTCTCTTGACGCGGCGGTGGTAGTCTGCGGGGGGGGGCCGGGGGGGCCGGCGGGGTGGCTCTGCTGCCCCGCCCCGGCTCTCCCGGCCTGGCCCCGCCCCCATCCCTGCCCCCAACAATGGCCCCACCCCCTCCGTGGCCTCGCCCTCCACGACTCAACCCCGCCCCTCCACTCCAGGCCCCGGCCCTGGCCAGGCGCTCGCGCTGTATCTCTGTATCTTTGTATCTCTCTCTGTCTCTCTACCTCTCTCTCTCTCTTTCTCTCCCTCCCTCCCTGCCTCGCCCCTACCTCGCCAGACCAAGCTCCTCCCCCTCCCGGGAAGACCCCCCCCAGCCCTTCCTTGCCCGGCTCCTGGACTTGGTCCCGTCCCCTCCAGGCCGCGCCCCTCCACGACCAGACCCCGGCCCACCATGGTTTGCCCACACGCTCCAGACCAAGCCCCGCCCCTCCAGGGCTCGGTCCTCGCCCCTCCATACCAGGCCCCGCCCACTCCCGGCCAGGCCCCGCCCCACCATGGTCGGTCCACCCTCTCCAGACCAGGCCCCGCCCCTCCAGGACTCGGTCCTCGCCGCTCCACACCAGGCCCCGCCCCTGCGGACGGTAGTCCCCTCCCCTTCCATCCCAACGGTCTCCAAGGCCAAGTCGGGTCCCCGACCCTCTCCCCATCTTCAGGTGGGGCGCGCCCTTTCCTGTCTCCCCTCTCTTACCCCCTGCCCCTAACCTGGCCCGCAAGGTCTCACCCAGGAAGTTCTGGTAGCAGTTTCGGGTCTGGTTCTGGTTGGGGAAGCGCGGGTCGAAGGGCGGTGTCGACCATTTCCCCTTGGGGGGCTTCTGGGAATCGACATCCAACATCCACGGAGGCGGCAGCTCCTGCGTGGGAAGGGGGCTCCGTGGCGCTCGGGAGCGCCCCTCGTTCCGACCCACACCCCGCTGCTGGCCCCCACCCGAAGGCCAGCCCCTGAGCCCACCCGCCCTGCCCTCACCAGAGTGATGTCAGCGTGTCACTGGGTCAGCTATGGTGTGGGGCGGTCCAGGGGTACCCGTCGCTTCTGAGTCTCCTGGGTGCAGCTCACGAGAAACCCGACCCCCAGCAGGATTGGCTGGGACCCCTGGACCCCAGCCAATGGGAGCCGCTGCGCTGCAGGGGATGTTCTAGGACGTGGGGCGGGGTCTGCGCGGACCTCCCTTAAGCCTCCTGCCCCCAGCCCCACCAAGCTCTTGAGGGTCCCCCGCGCACACACAGGCACCCAGGCACGACTTTTGCTGAGTCTGACTCAGGCTTTTAATCTCTGCGAAGCTGGGCCACCCCGCGGGCTCTCCCCCGTCCCGCTCCCCGCCCCCCCAATATATAAAGGTATAGATAGCTCTGGTCTCTGCCGGAGAGAGAGCATACTCCCGCCCGGCCTTTTCAGCACCCTGCTTCTTACGGTAAAGGTGCACAGCACCCTGGGGGCCTGTGGGGAAGAGGAAAGAGCCAGGGTGGGGTCTGAGCTCCCGGACTCCAGTGCCAGGACTTGGGCGGGTCTGCGGGGTCTCGGGCTACCTGGCCAGGCTGGGCTCCTTTGGACACTTTGGCAACTGAGATCGAGTCCTCGGAATCCCGCTATTGAGGGCTCTCGGTACTGAGCATGCTGGAGAGAGAGAGAAAGCCAAAGGAGGCTTTGGGGGCCACAGTTTACTGAGTGCTCAGTAAACCCGTCCCAAACGGAGCCTGAGGTGGAACGGGGTACCCACTGCGTCTTCCTGGCCCCGACGGACCTCGCAGGTTCCTCTCCCTCCTGCCTAGCCGCTACCAAGCCCAGCTGTGCACCCTTCACCCCACATCCAACTGCACTGTGGTAGCTCTCAAGAATCGCTGGTGCGCCGGCTTCCTACCCCAGCTGCTTCCCACATCCCTCCTCCCCTTGCAGCAAGCCACTTGCAGAAAGCTGGTCTACTCCTCCCCTCGGCATGCCCTCTTTGCCAACGCACAGAGGTAGGTACGTAGGGATACAGTGGGGAAATACCCATCACATAAAATTTACCATTGCAATCATTTTAAAGTGTACAGTTCAGCGGCGTTCGTTGCATTTGTCACGTGGTGGGACCACAACCTCTGAGCTCCAGAACGTTTCATCAGCCCACAGGGAGACCCTGTTCCCCATGCGCCATCCCTCCCCATCCCAGCTCCTGGCAACCACCAGTCGGCTGGGATTTGTCTGCCCCACAATTGTCAAAGGGCATCATCCGCGAAGGGGACCCTTGCATCTGGCTCCTTTCAGCCAGCATCACGTTTTCAAGGACGCTGGCAGATGACCTCCTGCTCTCTGTGCCTCCTCAGGCCTGCCCCATTCAGCTCGTTACCACCATGTAACAAATAATCGAATCCTTGCTGATAAATCCTCAGTCCCACCTCCCCCCACCTAGATGGGGCATTAGACACAACTGCTCTTTTCCCATGGTGGCCAGGATGCCTGTGTCTCACCATTCTGCACACCACTACTGTGGTCTCCCCTCTTCCCAACACTTTCTTCGTTTACACTCGCTGGCCAGAGACCTCCCCTAGTATCCTACCTTGCAGTAGCCGGCCCCGAGCTGTTGATTTCCCAAGTCACCCGTGACTCACGCATCCGGCTACCTAACCCACATCTTCACCAGACATCTTGGAATTCAGACGTCCGAAATGGAACTCCTGATGCTCTACCTGCCGCCCATTTCCTTCACAGCTTCTCTGACTGCTACCAATGGGGTCCCAGACCCCAACCCTTACACTTTCCCTTCATATCACATGGACACAATCTGTTGGCTCAGCCATCAGAGCATCTCTAGAACCCTGTCTCCTCTCAACACCTCCAACACCTCCCGTGTCCAGATCCACATCTCATGCCTGGATCACTGCGACTGCCTCTTGCCGACTCTCCGAGCTTCCATCCTTGCCCGCTTACCTTCTCTATGCTTGGGCCAGAGAGAGCCCTTTCTAACACACATGAATCCCAACTATTTAGCTCAATCCACCTGCCCCCAGCTCACTCATCAGCATCAAAGCCTAAGTTCTTAAAACGCCCGGCAAGGTCTCCTGTGATCGCCACCAGTTCCCTGACTCTTCTGATGGCATTCTTCTCTCTGGGGCCCCCTGGAACTCACTCTTGGTCAACATATTGCACACTCATAACTTCCCCAGATGTGTGCACGGAACCCTCCCTCTTCTCCTCCAACTCTTTAACAAGTGACATCAGCTCCCTGAGGCCCTCCCGGATCCACAGTCCCATTCTGGAGGCTGCCTACCTTCACGCCTAGTCTGCCCTCCTGTACTGTCTCCCCATGGAGCTATCAGCTTATATCATACAATATAATTGCCTTAGTTTTTATTGTCAGGATTCCTAACTTCATCACTACTGATAGTTTGTGTGGATCATTCTTCGCTGGGGGTGAGGTTGGAGGAAGAGCCTGTGCATTGCGGGAGGTTAAACAGCATCTCTGGGCTCTACACACAAGATGGCAAGGGCATATACTTCCCAAATTGCTCAGTGCTGGATTCCCAGTGCTTAGAACAATGCCTAGCACAAAGTCAACACTCACTAAATACCAAGTTCATGAATAAAAGTGAGAAAAGAGGGCATGATCCTCCACCTGGCAGAGAATGGGGTTGACGGAATATATCAGTCATCACCCCAAGTACCTGGCCGAAGGGCTGAAGACATCCTGTTCCTCTTCCTTATCCCCGCTGGCAGCCAGGTCCATCCCGCTCTCAGCTTCCAAGGGCGAGGGTGAGACACCCACTGAGGACAGCCCCGTCATGGTCACAGGGCTGAGGTCTGACATCTCCTTGGGCTCGCGAGGCTCTTGAGATATGCTGCTGAGCGGTGGGGACACCTCAGCTCCCACTTCTGACACGGGGGTCAGTGAGGTTGGTGACCAGGTTGTATCCTCCCCCTCTGACGCAGGCAGAGGGGTTGGAGACAGGGAGACATTGTCCATCTTCTGGCTGCTGGAGACACTGCCCATCTCCTGCTTGGGGAGGTAGGGCACCTCAGAAGTCCCCGTGGCGTCCTGGAACAGCTCCTCCACATTTGCTTTCTCCTCTGCCCACTGATGCCTGCTCCTCTCTGCCCACCGATGTATTTTCCCCTTCACCCAGGTGCCCACTGGGGACTGCTCCCTACCCCCCACGGAGGTCCCCTCCATCGAGGGCACCCAGGAGCCCACTGGGGACTGCTGGGTACCCCCCGCCGGGGTTCCCTCTGTTGAGGGTGCCCAGGAGCCCACTGGGGACTGCTCCCTAACTGCCACTGGTTTCCTCTCTGGCGAGGGCGCCCATGAGCCCACCGGGGACTGCTCCCTACCCCCCACTGAGGTCCCCTCTGTTGAGGGCGCCCAGGAGCCCACCGGGGACTGCTCCCTAACTGCCACTAGTTTCCTCTCGGGCGAGGGCACCCATAAGCCCACCGGGGACTGCTCCCTACCCCCCACTGAAGGCCCCTCCGTCGAGGGTGCCCAGGAGCTCAATGGGGACTGCTCCCTAAACCCCGCCAGGGTCCCCTCCATCGAAGGCGCCCAGGAGCCCACCAGGGACTGCTCCCTACCCCCCACTGAAGGCTCCTCCGTCGAGGGTGCCCAGGAGCTCAATGGGGACTGCTCCCTAAACCC